ATCAAACAGAAAGGAGAACTAATGCAATATTGATGTTGTTTTTCCTCTCAAGATATTGTTTGATGTTTTTTTGAACAATATAACCTTTTTGTTTGCTATCTAAAAATTAAGTCTTGTCATTATAGTAGCTTCTCAAACATCTTTAGCATTTATATATAAAATCTTTTAGATTTAATTACAAATTTTATTTTAAATGTTCACCAGTTATGAAAACAGAAAAGATTGTAAATACTTTCTATTTATTAGGAAAAGAAAATATAGAAAAATGAAGAGAATGCTCGGAAGAAAAATGTGTAAAATTGATAGACAAGATATTTGATCAATTACAATTGATCATAGGAAACAATCGAGAGTATGTTCATACACATTTGATTTTATTATAATTTATGTTTTTGAAAAAGTTTGTCTTATAAAGTTTCTTTCCATTAGATATTTATAAATAATTCTAGTCAAGAAATAAAAATGTCAGAAAAATCAAGTATGAAAATTTATGTATTTTAATCTTTTCCATGCATTTCAACATTAGTTTTAGCTAGAGAACTGAAACTTTGAAAAACTAAAGATCTTGAGTAGACATATACATATATGGAATAAAAAATTTTTAGCCTTCTACGTCAAGAAAATGTATGAAAAATGTCATCGAAAATTTATTCCCAGTTAGTATGAGGGATCCTATAAATACATATGATAGTTAAGTTTAATAAATTGTGTTATATATTCAAGAAATTGGGAAGTTCTAAAGATCTGCAGTGCTGGTGTAAATATTGACAGTCACTCACTTACACTAGATCTACTGAGGTACTAATATTCGTATTCGCTGTAGCCTCGAGACACAAATTCTATCAAAATATACCCTTTTTGGTAGCAGTGTGCGTGCCAGTGCTTTAGTAAATACTGGTATCGATATCTTAAAGATAGCTATGCATATGTTGAAACTCGAGAAGTTCAGTTTCAGTGCATGTTCTAAGATGACAGTATATATCTCAACAGAAAATACTGTGTCCTTATAAATAAACTAGCGCTAAAGTTTATAAGTTTTATTTTGTGACTTTTGTTGTGATATTTTCAACTCTTTCGTATGGAATAGTCAAACGACTAGATTTTATACAACGTTAAAACGAGATTTTGGAGTTATATCATTTGATAGATGCCTATTATTTCTATAAATACAATATTAATTCAGTAGATAAACTTTATCATCCTTCGTTGACTAATAGACAGGCCATCTCGATTTTCGAAACATGTAACAATCCTACACTCATTTTATTATTATATGTTTGTCAATTTTGTGATTTAATTTAAAAAAGAATTTTTTTTTTCAAATCTTACAAACCATTGTGTTTTTTCCCAATTAATTTCAAACACAAGATGTTCCATTTTTTTAAAAGTATTAATAACTGTTTTATCCATTTCAAAAAAAGATAATAATGAATATAATTTAAGATTATTTATATTAGTTGGTCGTGATAAAAGACCAGTAGAAATAAAATAAACAAGAACTTCAAATACATCAGATGGTTGATCAAATACATAAACATTTTTATCAATATCATAGAATTGTGCACGGCGATCTTCACGTGCAAGTATTGAATTTGATGCTCGTTTTTGAATAAGTTCTTCATTTAATTCGAATAAAACACCATTAACTAGAAAGGAAACTAATTGTGGTTTCAAATTAATTTCTTCTACTAAATTTGATATTTCACTTGTCGTACTCATCAAATAGAATATATACATAAAATGCGCGAATATTACTCTTAAAATATTTCTTTTGATTATATAAGACATTTTATTAACATATATTCTGTAAAAACAAAATTCTTATATTAATGTTTAAGATATGACAACATATGTAAAGATTGATATGCAGTTATTTATGTTTATATTAATTTTGTCTAGATTGCCAGTTGATATCTACTATATTCTTATTTATGTTCTTTTAATAAGATCAATTGAAATATTTTATTCTTCTCAAATAATAAAAAATGTGTTCATAAATGACATCGCAAAGCAAAAATACTATTAGGAGATTGATAGACAAAAAAAGAATGCAATCGATAGAAAATGTATTCGTTTAAGATCGTTCATTCTTTTATTTTATTATGTATGTTAAACAAATCCTAATTGAATAGTTATTTTGATAGAAAGCTTGACCGAATGGCGTACACATAATTAAATGAAACGTTGGTAAGTATCTAACGGTACACCAATAGTTGAGCTCCCAACACTTGAACCTTCACCGATGAATTACGAAAGAAACACAATCAATATTCGCTAACTTTGTTTAGCTCAAAAGTAGTGTACACCAGCAATGGACATAAGACAACCTTTTCTGTCCTGGTGGGCGGCAGGACAGGACATAAATTATAGTTTTGTCCTGTACCCATCTCTGGTGTATACAAACATGCCCCATTCTCACATGGTATTGATAACTCTCTAGTATATTTTTCCGTAGCTAAATGAATTATCTTTAAGAAAACGAATAAGTTTTTCGAATTATGGTAGTAGTGCAAGTGTGAATGTATGTGAACAGAACGGTCACATCCCACCACGGTCACATCCATACCTGTACTATCCGTAGATAACTAAAGCAATCAAGTAGAAGTTGGTACTTGATTTTTGAGGATTTCACAGTTGACGTTGTATAATAACAATAGACTATAATAGAACACTAATCGAGACTAGATAAAAAAAGAAATAATTTTAAAAGCCAACTCGTTCTCGTGAAGATGACTGACTTAGCTATATAGAAATATAATAGCAAGTCAATAAATCTCATAGGAACATGTTGCAAGTTTCGATCTCCTAATTTTGAGTTGAATAAAGTGATTGAATATCGATTCTGTTTCTTTTGTAATTAATCGATGAAGACTTAATTGTCGGGAGTTTACTTTTTACATAATCAAAAATTGGAAGATGATTCTTATTAAATGATATAGAAACTCGAATTAAAAAAAGAAGAATTTTGTTTAAAAAAAAATACAGCCAAATCCAATTCATGAATAATAATAGAATATATGTATCAATAGCTCTGTTAGCTCATTATTCGTCAATCATTTTTCTCAAAGATATAAAAAGATATATGAGAAAATCTTTATATCCATCATAAAAGGATAAATCTTTATTAAAAATGTGTCATGACTCGAAGTTTCTGTAATAAAGAGAAAATTGATGTAAGAACATTTTTTGGCTTAATAAAATCGAAGAAAACTTTTTCACAAACAAAATGACTTATCAATTATCAATTTTCTAAACATATAAGTTGTTATGCTAGCAAAATCTATACATCAGTATGATATATAGCTACTGAACTTCACTCCAATGATATTATTATAACATCATCTTGACTTTCTTAAAATCATACTTTGACCAAATAAAAGTTTAGAGTATGTAATAAGCATGAATACCATCATATTAAGTACAAGATTCTTGAAATTATTTAGATTATTGTAAGATAAATATTCCTAAATCAAATATGTTCGTTTGAGAGTATGGGTGTATAATGAGTGTCAGTGTATGTATAGAGGAAACTAAGATCCACACATACATGTGTGCTTACCCCTACCACCATCTACATGCTCGTTAACCTGATGTCTGCACTTTTTCTCTTTGAAAGTGACAGAAGAAAAGTTAGTCACGAATTTGATTCCTTCTTGCTGACATTCGCTTCCAGACTTGTTGTGCCTCTCTAATTTGTTGAAGTGAATGCAAAATTTCAATTCTCTATCAAATGATAATGTTTTCGAGGAATGTCATCTGGCAAAAACTAGAAGTTTCTGTCAAAAAAAAAATTAGATTTTTGAACTCTTTCTACAAGTATATTGTACAATGTATGTCAACGTTTTGGAAGACTTCGTTGATCCTCAATGGTGCTTATGGAACTGTTTTGAGCTCGATCAATTACGTTTTCAGTCAAAATTTTACATAGAACAGAATATAATGATATTTATGTGAGTAAAATCACTACAAATGATTCGTCTTCAGAAGTTGTTTCATAAAATAATTGTTGACCAGATGATATGAATTAGAGCAAGCGATGTAGAAGAGAACTATTACATATTGGTGTACAGAGTCGAAAACCATATAAAGCGCATCCCTTGGTAGATCACTGAAAATCTGCTCAGCGTCTCAATCATTGTATGTGTTGTTCATTAATAAATATTTCTTTGCATTCTAATCTCTATCGGCTAGTATTCTGCATTTTGTACGTACTTCATCAAGTGACAACATATACCGCATTCATTTTCACTGTTATGGATATGTGCGTGTGTGTTTAGATGTCGATGTGGTTGTGGATGTAGTGTGGTCCTCAGCTTCACTCGTGCACCACACCTAGTCACTCCCAACCATTGCATAAAAAGATGACTTTATCAATCAATACAATGTGAAAAAGAACTTCAAATTCTGATGTAAGATCCAGTTCAATTCTTAGAACTCTTATGAACACATATATGGAATCGAAAAGTAATGTTTTCAAGTTATATATTGAACACTGAACTTACGATTCATTTACTAAAAGAATTCTATAAATGGTGAAAGAAATATTATGCATACAAGGGATCAACCATTCAGAATCTTCAACTATGATTAATTGTCAGAGCAAACCGTACATTCAAGTACTTCTTTATTCATAAGAAGCTGCTACAAGCCATGCTAACAAGATAGGAATCATCAACGACATAAAGAACAACATAATAAATCTTTAGTTTTATTGATTTTCTTTTATTCGATCACAACAAAGCATCACACTAATGACTCTATTTCATATTGTTTTCGTTCTATTGTATATATTCGAATACTTACCTAATTTCATGATATTCTACATAATCACATATATTTGCTTTCATATATTCAAGATACACATATTACAGTACTAATCAATGAGATAACAGGTTTGAGACAATGACAACTTACGCAGTTATCAAATGTGTTATAAAAGTTTGTTTTTATCGTCTCAAACAAAGCAAAGTGGAATTTAACCTTATCAAATTCAGTCGGACAGGATAGAAAAAAAGGCTCTAGTTCCAACTGATGATCGTCAATTATTTCGAATGATGAAGAAAGATGTTAGCAGCTGAGTGGAATCTATCGAATGATAAAAAATGATGTCCTTCTACTGTGCGTCGTCGTTTAGTAAATATGGATTATAAAAATTATACATCTCAGCGAGAGTCTTTTAGAAAATCTGCTCAAATTAAACAATGTCTAACATTTATTAAAGACCATCAATATTGGTTAAATGAATGGAATAATGTTATCTGGAGTAGCGAGATACATTCTGAAGTGTTAAATCGTGAAAATAGTTCTTTTTTCGTCTTTTAAAATCAGAACGTAATCGACCATTCAATTTCTTTCTGCGCATACACACTGATGATGGCAATGTTAGTGTGTGAGGATACACGTCTGGAGGTGCTCGTGGTCCACTCATGATCTATAATGGAAGATTAAATGATCTTGCATCTATAAAAACAATCAAAGATGCATTCTCTGTGTTTATTGAGAATATATTCGATACAGAAAACAAGAATTGGATTTATATACAGAATAGTGCACCGCCTCATACAACAAAATATTCCTGATGATACTGAATCTGTGACCTATCCTCAAACACATTAAATTACTCAGTCATGATTGCACTGATTTTCGTTCCTATGCTTTTATATAAATAGCAGTTGAAAAAAGTAAAAATATTTTGAAACGTCTGAATCTTATTAATTATCGGGTTGGATTCGAGTATGGATCCATATCAGGGCCATGTCGGATATCCTCTATGTTGCAAGATACTATAATAGTTTGAAATATCGAGATCGATACATTACCAGCTATTAGTTGTTTTAATGAAGTAGTTTTATCTTCCTTTATTCTCAATTATATAAATAAATCTAAAAGATGATCAGCTGAATTTGTATATGATGAACATAAATAACCAGTCATGCGAAATATTTCTTCAATAGACAAAAAAACTTTATTTTATAGTTTTCATAACTGACGTCATCGATTTTCTTATTATAATTTGCTGTCTTGAATTTTGATACATAATATTTGCAACTTTGAGCAAAATAAATGAATCAAATATTTAAGTAATTATTTTTGATTTAGATGAATATATTGAACAAATGATGCATACTAATTTTTCCGGAGAACATTTCTGCATTAATCCATGAAATGCCCTCAGTAAATCAAGTGATGTCACATAATCGTGACCTGATGCTGACTTACACAGAAAAGGCAATTCTGATTGATTGAGTAATTGCATGCAAATACAAAGAACTTTTCGTCCACTAACTGTAATGAATAATACGAGTTCATTGATCATTTTTTAATTTTCTTTGAATTTATTTCAAAAAATTTGTGAATATTTCGAACTGATCTTCAGTCCATTATCAACACAAATGACACATAAAGGATACAAAAAATGTTTTATTATTGTTTGTACAGTTATTATTTTCTTTTCTTTAACATTGCAATGCAAGGGGAAGAAATGTTTGTTTATGCATTGGAATGCTAAAGAAAAGAAAATCATAGTTGTACATATAATAATAATAAACTTTTTGTATCTTTTACGTGTCATTTGTGTTGATAATGGACTGAAGATCAGTTCGAAATATTCACAAATTTTTTGAAATAAATTCAATGAAAATTAGAGAATGATCATCGAACTTGTATTATTTGTTATCAGTCTATTTAAATATATTTCATTGAACAAAATTCATATTTCA